ATCCTATTGTTAGTTGAAAGATTTGCCCATTGTTTTCATCATTTCTAATGAACAACAACCCTTTGCAATTATTGTACGCAATACCGAGCCTAATAAGGTGTGACAAGCCCGACGCACGTACTATCGTAGAGCTGCTTCGAAGCCCGTTTGTTTGACATGCAAGTCGACATGGTCAGGGGTAACCCACAGACTGGCGCACTATGCACGTAGTCAGTCACGTGGCATGTTCACATGAAGTGACATCTGCGACACACGTGCCATGGCAAAGCACTCACGATTCCCTTTCGTTTGATAACTATGTTGGCGTTGTTGGAAATTACTCGTGGAGGGGCACGTAGCTGCCTATAGTCACGGGACTCACTTTAAAACAACTCGCAATTTCCTTTCATTTGATACCAATGTCAGCTTAGTTGAGAATTACTCATAAAGAGGCACGAAGTTGCATACAGTCATGTAACTCACCTTTCGTCAAAGTCACGTGCGCTACTCACGTACTATAAAAGATACGCTTCGAAGCCCGTTCGTTTGATATTCACATCAGTATTTTTGTGCATCACCAATGAACTGATGCAATATGGACGAAGTGGCGTGGCTTACTGACATGACCTTACACTTTTGAAACACATTGTAGTGCCATCATCATCGCCATCATTTCTTGATCACTGCGCCACGCCTCTCGCGCAGCTGATGCTAGCTCGAGCTGCGCGAGGTTGAGAACGAGCTCACGCACCTGGCGCGTCGGACGTGGACAGCCACCGCGGCTGCTCTTCAGGCGTGGAATAAAGCGGCTAGATCAGCACGGCCCCGATGGATGGATGGATGGATGTGGCTGTACCCTTTAGATCGGGCGGCGGCTAACGCCACCTAGCCGTAATACTTAGTGAACTAACCATTACATTTATCTTTTCTTTTCCTTTAAATAATGAAGTTGAGGATTCGTACTTCGCAGTGAAGGGTTTAATTTTCACTCGTGCCTTGACTTTAGCCACCAATCAGATAACCTCCATCTAGTTAAGTCTACCCGCTTAAAGTCTATTTTGCCCTCGCTGTACCTAAATCCCAGTGCTTTGAAAAACTCTGCGCCATCATCCTGAACTATAGGGTGAAGCCCTTTACAGAACATTATCAAGTGCTCGGCAGTTCCTTCTTCCTCTCCACACGCACTGCATACTGTGTCGACCCCTTCGTATTTGGCCCGATATGTCTTGGTTCGCAGTACTCCCGTCCTGGCCTCAAACAGTAGAGAACTACCCCGAGTATTATCATAGATCCTTTCCTTGGCAATTTCCTGCTTAAAAGTTCGATAGATCTTTAGTGCGGACTTCTTAATCATGCCCATTCTCCACATGTCAGTCTCCGTTTCCTTCACTTTTTTCTTAACCGATAGTTCTTTTTGGTTTGGCCACCTGCTGTTTTCCCCGTCGGCCGCCTTCGACGCCGTCTCACGTCTCTCTTCTCTCGCCGCTACATTGGTGACCCGGAGAACACGCCCTTCGCCGAGCGGCTCACGGCCATGTTCCCGCAACTCTGCCCGCCAGCGCCGCCGTTCCAATCGACCTACCCCAAGGTATGGTTCATGCAGCTCGATGCCGTTCTGGCGCTGAATGGCGTCACGGACCAGCTGCTGATGCACGCCATTCTTCTCGACGCCCTTCCGGTAGAGTTGCGCCATCTCGCTGCCACTTCAAGCACCAGCCCGCAGCCTTACGATGCCCTCTGCACTGCGGTGCTCGCCCGCAGCGGCAACACATACCGTCCGCTTCGGTTTACCCTCACCAGGCAAGTTTCCCCGGCGTCGCAGAGCAAGGTACGAACCGGTCCGTAGCCCTCCATTGACCGCTACCTCGGTACCCCGGCTTCGACTACTTCTACACCTGATCCGGTCGCAGAAACATCCACTCCTGCACCTGATCACGACCGCGAGGTAGAAGACTCCCCCACTGCGACTGACCTTCCCTCCGAGAGGTACATTCCCTCAGAGCCCCCGTGCAGAGCTTCATCACACGTACCTGCCACCTGCACGTTTTCCACGAAAGCGACAGCACGTGACACCGTGGCCCCACCAGACCCCATGAAGACCTCCGCTGGGCCAGCTGACCTTCCTGCAGACTCCCCGCCTGTCCCGGCGCCTGTGGAGGCCCGCGGCACCACTCGCACTGTGGACCCAGAGCCCGCTGTGACACTCCACGCTATCAGTTTCCCCTGCACACCGGTGCCTGCTGCTCCGGGCCTCGTGGACTGCCGGCGCCTACTGACATCATCCTCGATGTGTCCTGCGGGAGTTCGGGCCTCTGGGCATGCACGGCTGGACGTGCGTGATGCTGTGGCGATGTCAGGGGGTCCCGAGGGCCGCACGCCTGGCTCACCGCGGGTGGAGCACACCGTGCGTGCCCCAACGGATGCGCAGTTGGGCCATCCGCCTGCCACTGCGTGCGCGTGCTCGAGCATTTCGGCGCCGTCGACGGCCCATGACAGCTGTGACGCCGCATGCCCACCACTTGGTCTCGCATCACCGGACGTCGGGTTTGGCTCGAACAGCGCGACGACTCATCGGCGTACGCCTACGCGTCGCGCGTCGTCAGAGGTCGGGGAAAGGGGTCTGTCAGTGCCCTCTGGGCCGGTTCGTTGTCACTGTAAACCATGTCGCACTTCGTCGGTCCAGAGCGCACCGTTTCAGACTTATCTGCACCCTGCTCGGCCGACCAGGCGGCCGCCGCGCCCGGTGATGTGCCACCGGAAGCGACGGTACCGGCACGGTGGGCGCACTTCCAGGGTTGACCGCACTCCCTGTCGTCGTCCCCACCAGCTCCAACGTGGAGGTAACGCTGGACCCTCTGAACTGGCCGTGCTGCGCTCATGCTGCAGTTCATTTTTTGAGCATCAGTGTCCGAGTGCGCGCGACAATCGGCCGCGCCGGGGCGGCCCGTGTGTGTTCTCGGCACTTGGACATTTTTCACCTTGTTGTTGGTGCTCGCTGTCGACAAGGGTGTCCCTTCATCACGACCCTCGCCCGCTCCTTCCAACAGCGTGCCTGCCTGGCCACCCTCGTCCGCTGCGCCATTCCCAGTGTCGCCCGCCAGAGACCCACTGGTTCCCGATGGTCACTACACGTTGACAAACTGGAACTTCCCAAACGGACACCTTGCGGATTGTCGTTCATGTATATAGTCTCTTTCTCTTTCTTTTTTCATATGCCTTCGAATCGCCCAAAGCGCTAGGGGGGAGCCCTGTAGTGCCATCATCATCACCATCATTTCTTGATCACTGCGCCGCGCCTCTCGCGCAGCTGATGCTAGCTCAAGCTGCGCGAAGTTGAGAACGAGCTCACGCACCTGGCGCGTCGGACCTGGACAGCCACCGCGGCTGCTCTTCAGGCGTGGAATAAAGCGGCTAGATCAGCACGGCCCCGTCGGCCGCCTTCGACGCCGTCTCACGTCTCTCTTCTCTCGCCGCTACAACATGGCATAGCAAAGTGCTCGTGATTTCCTTTCGTTTGATACACATGTTGGCCTAGTTAAAAATCACTCATGGAGGGGCATGAAGTGGCATATAGTCACGTGACTCCCTTTTAGTCGATATCTAATGTGTGCAACGCATGTATTATTGAAGAGGTGCTTCGAAGCCCATTAGTTTGACTTTCATGTCGATTTGTTTGGGGTCTACACATCAACTGTTGAAAAATGCACGAAATCACGTGACTTATTCCCGTAACCTGTTGTCCGCGAAGCACGTGCCATCGCAAAGCATTCGTGGTCTCCTTTCGTTTGATATTCACGATGGCAGAAATTTGAAATATTCATGAAAGTGGAGAAGGTCACACCCGGATTCAATGGTAGCATTTATAAGGCCCCTTCACTGTTTTCAAACAAAGCCCTTTGAGGACAACCACTTTCATCCACCGATATGCCGAAATAGCATATGTGGGCAAGAAGACTTTATAAGAATAACGCACAGATTTTCTACACTTTCTTTTTTTTATCTCACAGGATATATTCAGATAAATGTTCTTTTGAGTTACACAAAAATTATAAAAGATACTCGAACTTCACACACATTCCTTTTATCTGAAATAATAAAGAGAGGCAATTCTTACATTTAAAAACAACTTGAAAACGTGCTTTCAGTTTCGACGTTATGAGCTGGTAAATGGTGTGACTGGAAGTTTTCTTGGGTACAACGCTTGTGACCATGAAACTGTCTGTAGTACTCTATATCGCCCACGTGTTATACAACAGTTTAAACACTAATCTACCTTTCAATTGACCCTAAGCTTACCTTTATTTAGTACTCCACACTTCATTGCACTTAGAGCCAACCTGACTGCAAATAACATTGTTTAATCATATGTTGGTCTTTGGACGTTAAACCCCACATATCAATCAATCAATCAACCAATCAATCAAATAGCATCGCACCTCTCTAGGAGGATGTTGTACCACCAGCTCTAAAAGTGTGACTTCACCGCATGCTCTTGAAAAGACATCGCAGTAACTAAAAAATGTACAAACGAACAAGTTTTGTTTCTGCGCATGTAATTCTCGAACCACATTTTAAACTCAATGTTACTTGAAGCTTCTTCAAAATCTGCTGAAATAATGAGATATAGTGTTTTTAAAACAACTCCCACTCAGTTAAGCTGGTTTACTTCAGTGGAGCTCCAAAAAAGCTGAAGTGAAACGTCAAAAGTATCTGGACATGCATCACTTCGGTGAAGCTTTTTCATCATGCCCCCAGCTCCACAAATATGCGATAATTTTGGCGTCGGTTGCAATATAAATCACTGCAAGTAGTGCCCCAAGACCCAAGAATGAGCAGTTCTGGTTTCATTTCCTAAATCTAGGGCCAATGTTGTGTGGTGGTTTGAATCGACACCGCCCTGGAGGGTATGCAGGGCTTGTCTAGTGTAAATGTGGAATTAGACACTCTGCAGAACTCACGCATTGTTCATTGCCTTGAAATAAAGGCAGGAACGGCCATTGACACTCTATGGATATACCACAGCTAATCGACAATAAATTTTATTGGAATGCGCTGCTATGAGAAGACAATTGCTTGCGAAATGAGGTAGAGACGCCGCATCAAAAAGCGGCGTATATGTTGCTTATTTTCGCTCGCGTTGTGCAGGGCAGAGTTTTATGAGTGCACACTTCGTTTCACTCGTCGGTGCCGGTGGGCCTGACGCGTCCGCAATAGGAGAGCAGCTCGGCGACCGCACACGGCTTGTGGCAGCACTCTTCGATGATGCCTCGCACCTGGCGATGACTCGCAGGCCGCAGCAACTGAAGCGCCGTCTTAGCATCCAGGAAACCCAGACGAGACTCCGTCACCCAAGGAGACACTGTGAAAAAGTATTGAAGCGTAGAGCTTGTGTAGAGAAAGTGATAGCTGCACTATTTGAGGTACAAAACGAGAAAACAACTTGGTTGTGTAGCCAAAGCAACTTGCTTGTGTATGCTGGTGTCTCTGAGTTGACAGTGACACTGACAGTGAGATGGCGCAAGTAATCGCCGACAATCATGTTCAGCAATGCAGTCTTGTGCATGAAATCACAAGTCACAAGATTGAAAGTTAAACAACGTGGCATAGGTATACTTGCTTTGGGAGCGCACGGGAATACCCCAAATAAGGGGGTACAGGGTGAAATGGGATGGACATCATTTGAGTGCAGGGGAAGTATCAGCAAGATGGAATTTGAGGAGTGATCGAGAAAAGTGAGAGAGGATCGAGTGTTGGGCTGGGAAAGTTTTCCGCCACCTGTACATGAAGAATGTTGATACTAAATAGAGGAAGCGCACTCCGAAACTATCAAGCAAGTATTCAGACAACAGCAGAATATCCAGCCAAAACGAAACATCGGTTAATAAAAAGATGAAGAAAACAGAGAGGGCCGTGTTGAAGATGGGAATGCTTGCGAAATCATCACTGCAGACCTACCCAACTTTTAAGCAGGAAATTGCAAGAGAAAAAATCTACAATATATCTCGAGGTGTTCTCTGTTCTTTCAGGCTTGAATGGGAGTATTGCGGACCAAGGACGTACAGAGCGAAATATGAAGGCACAGGCGTGGTATGTAGTGCGTGTTAAGAGGAGAAGAACATGGCTGAACATTTGATGATGTTCCGTAAAGGGCACCGACCCAAAGTCAAAGATAATGGCGCCGAATTTTTCAAAGCATATTGGTTTAGAGGCAGTGAAGGCGAAATAGACTTTAAACGGGTAGAAATAACCAGGAGGAGGCTAAATGATAGGTGGCTACAATCTAGGGGCGAGTGAAACTCAATCCTTAAACACACAGTGATAGTACTTGACTTTATGGCTAGGTGGCATACGCTACCGCACGATCTAAAGGGCACAGCCGGATACATCAATCCTATCATCAATTCAATCATCATCATATTCATAGTCAGGTTTACGATAATTATGATCAGATACGAGGCACCACCGGGGTTTCTATAGCGTATCAGCAGGAGGAATGTGCATCGCTCCGCACGTCTAACATGTTTCATTGATATGCCGACAAAGCAAACCAGTGGTCATGCTGAAAAAAAAACTGCGCTCGCGTGAGTGTGCGCCAGCAGAAGAGGAACATTCAGGTGCTCGCTAGACATGCTCCAGCTAAACCGCGGACACTTATCGACCGGATACCACTCTTCGGGAGCACAAAGCGTAAGAACATTGCCCCAAAAGTCATAAGTCGTACCAGGGCTACGTAGTATCGAAGGTACATGCACCTTAGATGCTATCTTGCATACCCTTTGGCTATCATGTTCTTATCACGATACGTCTAGTCAGACGAGTATCTGTATTTGTAATTCTATTGCATTTAATCATGTACCGTGTATCTCAAAATAAAGCTTTTACTATTCGTGATTCGAAGAGACCACTTGCCACCTAACAGCCACACCTGGAAACGGCACTAACAGGGACAACCTTAAAAGAAAAGATGTTATCACGTCGCAAGCGTTGACAAACGTCCACATATAGTTTATTTTCACCCTGCCATGCGCGAGAGCACGAAAAAAGGCAGATCCCACGTACTGTGGGAGTCGATGATATGCGAAGCACCTAAAGAACCCTGGTAGGTCGAAATTTCCGTGGCCCTTCAATACGGCGGGTTTCATAATAATATGGTGGTTTTGGGACGTTAAACCCCACACATCAATCAATCAATATGCGAAGCACGAAAAGGAAGGTTGATATGTCACGAATTAGGAAGGTTGATATGTCACTGGGCTCGGTGGTTGTGCCACAACACACACCAGTAACCCACTTCTGCTCATCATGCAGGTTTTCCTTTCTGCTGTCACACGCGTGCTACTGCCTGCGGTAGCAATGTCAGCGATCCTAGTGAAGGAACCGCCAGACCTGCGCACCGGGATTGACATGACAATTTGGCGCATCCGCGTTGACAGTCATTCCGCCTGTCCAACTGCGCCACCACCTGGAAACTGGATGCTTGACCAAGTGCCGGGAGCCCTGCTGTCATCGACAACCATCGCAGAGCCAGCTATAAAGGAACCACGAACACCGCCTGCGCTCTATGGGCTCGGTGGCTGTGCCACAACACACACCAGTAACCCACTTCTGCTCATCATGCAGGTTTGTGAACCAGATTGTCTTTACACTAAGAGAACTAGCAATTGTTTTTTTGGTGCAGCTTCCGAGCCCGCAGTGCTGCTTTGATATTGCCTCTGAGTGTCTTAGTGCGATTAGGTCTATTTTGCTACAGTCAGAAGATATTGAAACGAACCCCGGTCCTAATACCACTACTGTACTTGCTGAACTGAAAAAACTGTCCGGTGGCCAAATCACAATTATAGCCGACATGCATGACCTTATAAACCAATGTGCGGCTACAAGTGCCGCACTCGTCAACTTAAGCAAGAGGTTAGCGGATCTAGAGGGTCATTATCAGAAACTACTACCACTTCAAACAGAGATACAGACTATACGGGCGGATACTGAGCAAACAGCAAGGCTCGTTCACGCCCTCAATGCGCGAGTTGACGATGCATCGAATCACTCAAGACGAAACAATCTTGTGTTTTACGGCCTTCTTGACACAGCAGCATCAGAAACGTCGGCCACGTCTGAAGAAAAAATTATACGTCTTTGTTCAGACCACCTGGACGTGCCACTTGAACCTCAAAATATAAAGCAAGCACATCGTGTTGGTCGCTACTCGACTAATCGTCGGCGCCCATTAATTGTTAAGCTTATTCATTGTAAGAAAACAGAAATGATACTCTCAAATGGGCGCAAACTTAAGGGCACCGACCTCAGCATCGGTGAAGATTTTTCCCCAGCAGTTAGTAACGCCCGCAGGCATTTTGTTTCTTTTGCGAAAGCTAAATCTGTGCCATATTCCTTGCGTTTTAAAACTCTCTTCATTGGCTCTAAGCGGTACCTGTTCGATGACGCATCGCAAATAGGAAAAGTCATAGCATTCATCACTTCATCAAAAAACAAGCCACTCCCCTCGAACGAAACCTATACCTCATGTTTCCCTTTGAATAATTTACACTAACATACGAAGCTTCCTTCCCAAGCGAGAGCACGTATGTAACCTCGTGCTGTCGTCGAACAGCAATGTTCTTGTAATCAGGGAAACGTGGCTTTGTAGCACCGTCTATGACTCGAAAGTATTGGCTGATGTGCCAAACTTCAGCGTCTTTCGAAAAGATCGTGACGAGACTAGAGGAGGGGGGGTGCTCATTGCAGTTAGTCAACAGCTGTCGTGTTCTGCTATCAATATCACATCATAATTTGAAATAATGTTTATTCTGTGCCATGCCGCCCCACAGTCTGTCATTTAAGGTGTTTGTTACAGGCCTCCGCGCAATAGCACCAACTTCGCTCGTAAACTAAACAATGCACTAAATGTCGTTTGCTCTCGGCACCCAAATGCCAACCTTCTTCTTTTTAGAGACTTTAACCTGCTAGACATTGATTGGCGAAGCACCGTATCCTGTTTAGTAAGCCAAACCGAAGCGAGAAATATTCTGGACGTTTGCCTCAACTTTAATCTAACACAACTTGTATCAGAGCCGACCCGTGTTACCCAAGACACTGCCAACACCTTAGACCTAGTACTGGCCAACTGTCCAGACAGTTTCTCGTCCATTTCCTTTCTTAGAGAAATAAAGGACCACAAGGTCCATCATGCTTCTTTTTGCATTGCTACAGCTTTGCGGCATAAGCGCGAAAAACTATACACATATACGACAAAGGTAATTATGATGCAATATGTGATCATTTACAAATATTTCTACTTTTCTTCCAAGATACGTTTCATAACCGCAGTAATAATAAAAATTGGCTGATATTCAAAGAGAAAATAAACATTTTAGCGTACCGGTACATACGAAAAATTACCTTTCGAACGCATGAACAAAAACCATGGTTTATTGATTCGCTCAAAAGATAAGAAAACAAAAAGAAACGCGTGTATCGCGCCGCTAAATGCAGGATGGACACGTTTGCATGGGAAAAGTACTACGCTGCTGAACGAGCATACCTATCAGCAATTCGCAAGGCGAAAGATGCGTTCTTTTGCGATGACCTTCCGAAACTTTTATTCAATAACACAACGTAATTCTGGCAGGTGATTAATCCTCAAAAAAGGCACAGTTTAACACTCACCAATGAAGAAAGGTGAAACGTTCGACGATATAGAATGCGTGAACCGTTTTAATGCAGCCTTTGTGTCTGTATTTACAGAAGAGTTCACCACGCCCCCTCTTTTTTCGCGTACCAATGCAACAAGTCATATGCCGACCACTAAATTTTTCCCAGATGGCATCTCACCGTTAATTGACAATGTTAAACTCACGTCGTCAGCCGGCATGGATAACATTAATTCAAAACTGTTAAAGAATACTAAACATGTCACCGCGGTTTTCCTGTGTTTGCTGTTCTCGCAGTCACTTTCAACTGGTGAAATGCCATATTACTGGTAGGTGAGAATGCTTGTTCAAATCCACAAAGCAGGTGACAGGAATTGCGGGCTTAGTTATCGCCCCATTTCATCAATGAGTGTGCCCTGTAAGCTCATGGAACACGTCATGTACACAGAAATTATGAAATTTTTTGACTCGAACAAATACTTTCATTCTGCACAGCATGGGTTCCGCAAAGCTTTTCCTGCGAAACACAACTGGCCATTTTCCTGCATGATATTCATAGCAACTTAGATTCTAACCTCCAGACAAATGCGATATTTCTAGATTTCGCAAAAGCGTTCGACAAGGTAACACATCAACGCCTATTACTGAAACTTTCTCTTGCGAGCATTAACCACGACATTTTGCGATGGATTGAAATGTTCTTGACCAACCG